AGCTCCAAGAGCTTATACGTCTTTGAGTTCTTAACCCCCCTTAACTTGACTATATATATATACAACAACGTCTTACCTTTGTTTTTTAGTCTTACACCAAGGCTAGCTTGCAAGCTTGTGCCTTTTTTGGTTGTGAACAACCGTGTCTCCAAGAGACTTAGCATCGAAGATACAATTCCTCAAGAGGAATAGAACGCTCAAGCACTAAGCTTTTCAGAGCAGGTTTGAAACTGATTTATTTTTATGTTTACTAAATATAGAAGCACCTACTCTATACTTAGTGCTAGTCACTGGCTCTGTAGCCTATTAATATGTAAACATGTAGTCAATATGCTTATCTAGGTATAGTGACCACGTTGCTCTTTGCCACGATGCGACCCTTCGTACTTTAGGTATGGTCACATCGAGCCTACTAATGTAGCCAAGGTACAGCCACACCACATTGGTGTGGCAGATGTGTCTGTACAGTACACACCTCTGTGTAACCCCGTTACAATAACCTGTTTCACCGCCAGATCTGCAAGATTTTCGTCGAAGACAAGGTTTTCCTACGTCACATCGAGTCGTACCAGGGTGTTGTTTGACTTGCTTGACATGAACAGACCACCTTCCTTCTCCGACAGCACCAAGTTCGTGCCGACATTGCGAGTAGCGCGGGGTTCCCTGCAGCCGGTTGTCACTTGCTGAAAATTGCTCTTCATCACGCGATTCTCATGAAACATACCGAAATCAGCCTCTACCTCTTTGTCGTCAGTCGCCACACGCCACTTGCAGTCGAACGCGATATAATAGTAGAATTTAATATTGTATGCACAAGCCATCTTGTAAAAGTCTGCGAAGAACTTGGCTTGGTTCTTAAGAGTAGCGATGCTAGCACTAGGATCCCAGCCATCCTAGCTCCAACCCGTCTCTGAGATAATGATAGTCCTATCCTTTTGTATAGCAGCCGCGCGCAGGCCCCTGAGACGGTCCAGAGTAACAGCTACAGCTTCGTTCACGTCCGCTTTTTCCCAGAATGAAAACTGGTTCACCGAAACGTAGTCCACGGCATCAATGAGCTGCGGGTTAGCGTTGTAGACGTCAATAACATCCGCAATCGTGACGGGCGTGCTCTTGCCACGGCTACGCAAATAGGCGCGGATTTCATTCATGTAGCTGATGGCCGTGACGGCATTGATGTCTTTACGGTAAATGGCCTCACTACCCACGTGTAGACCAATGACATTATCATCGTACAGACCAGAGTCAATAAGTTTAGCAAGCATGTGTTTCTCCTGGAGCAGGTAATCGTGGCTAGCCGTCGTCCAAATACCCAAGTGTATCTTCAGACCAACAATTTTGGCCGCCCGTAGTACCATTTCAGCCTGGTTGCAGTCCAACAGCGAGTAGATGCGGACCCTGTCTGTGACACTCTTCAAGACATTTATGTCTTTCTATACCTCGTCAGCGGTCTTGCATTTGGTGCTCACAGGTGCCCAATCTGGACCAATGCGCGAGGTGTAGTTGATACCGGAGATCTTGACATTGAGAGCGTTGATACTGCCGTGAAGCATAAGCACTCCGGAGGCCACGAGGGTAGGGAGGAAGATCTTTATCGTGTGTATCGGCGGGTAGTAGTAAATTCCGAGGAGAGCTTGTGCGTCTTGAGGAGGAATGAAAAGTAAGTCAGCTGAAAATTTTAAAGACAAGCAGTACCAAGCACGTGCAGACCTTACAACGCGCGATATCGAGAAGCTCCGCACACAGGATGGGATACCATCCTGTGGGCTAGCTGTCCGCTCTTTTTGGAAGACTTGATCACTCTTCTCACGCACGGACGGCGATCAAACGGCAGACGGACTTGAACATCATGCTAACAAAGTAGATTCATAGGATGAAAACTGCTTCAGGCTCTATCAAGTGAATCCAAACGCCATAGGAACGCCTACACGTCATGCTATTGTAACGAGCTTTGACGTTCTACGCTTAACAGCTGCTAATTTTTGCGTCAAAGTGAATTTCTTAGACAAGTGGTATCTAGTTGTCTTAAATTACGCGGATTCATCAATCTTGTTGATCGCTAGGTTGTGGGCTAGAATCGCCAGGGGACCGGACTTTCGGTTGAAGTACAGCGGGTCGGTAGTGTAATGAACCGACCTCACTTGACATGGCTTACATCCTGAAATGAGACTAACCTTCCTACTTGCACAACAATATAGTTGCAAGTGACAAAGCGTGCTCGGTTTTTTCAAAGGTAAGACATAAAGTCGGCAGTGGTTCACGCTTGCAAGTAAGATGCTTATTAGAAAGATAAATGTAAAGCAACTTTTCACCGTGTCGTGTTGTTTCAACTCCTTAGGCCCAACATGCTATGGGAACCCTAAAAGAGGACTATCATGCCAACTGAAGCTTGCTAAGGCGTTCATGATGCAGCTTTTTATTGAAGCACAACAGATCGTTGTTGTCTGTCATTGCCCATCCTTGCAGCGATGTCGCAATACTTGTTGGGGTTGTTGATAAGCACTTTGTCTGAAGGAGTTTCCATCCAACTCTTTCTTGTCATACCATTTGGAGATAGATAGTAACACTGATTGTGCATGAATAATAATTTGAATTTATCAGTACATGTAGCACTATATGTAGGGTATTATTATCCCAAGAATCAAGCTTAAAGTACTGCCGGCGTTTGTCTCAGAACCAAGCACGCTTTTCTGATCTTCAGAGTGAAGTCTCGAATGTAACGTGCGGGACATTCTAATCTATGCTTCAACGACATTGCAACAGAATTTTTGCGACACTAATGAACGTAGCGTCGAATTTCTGTTCGGATGGTGTCACGAATGCTCTTGGAAATCTCTACGACATACCACATACCAGAGGAACGCCTTTATACATCAGCACCGATTCGTTACTTGCAACATCTTTCTTAGCTAGACCACAGACACTATGATATTCTCGTCTGATCTAGGTAGATTTGTGGCCCGTTGACTTAGGTAATGACTCTGACGGCTGACGCCAAGTTTTTTGAAATTGAAAAGTCGAATATTTTGGCGTCGAGCGTGCTTTTTATTGCAATGATGTGGAGATTAACGTCGTTTTTGCGTTCACATTTACAGGCGCTTGCATGAATGACGATGGAATAGTTGACTGCCGTGGCCAGTTTCTGATTCTTATATCAAAAAAAAGCTGCTTTTTTGCAGTGACTACTTTTGCATGCAATAGGTTTCAAGCCGAAATTTCATTTTGTGCTCTGTGAAGAAAATGCTTTTTTGATACGAAACACCTTTTTCTTTTTGGGCAAGTAAACTTTCTAATCAATCGTTTCTATCAATTTAGAAATCAAATTAACAAAAAAGCACCCCGTGTTTTCCTTCATCAACAGATTAATTCCAGTCCCCCACCACGATATAAAAGTTCAGATTAATTCGGAGCATCACAATCGAAAAGTATCTTTTGAGTGATGTCAGAGCAGTCGACGACACCTCCAAATTTAAGGGACGACAATACAAAGGACTGGATAAATACTGATAGTCAAATGCATGTAGCAGAAGATTTGAGTGCATCAGGACACAGCAAAGAAGAAGACGATGACGATAACCCCTTTTCACAGTACTACGGAATGCTGCTGCACCAACAGAATATGCTGCAGGACCATGTCCGTACGGGCACGTACGAGAGAGCAATGATTTCTAATCCGTCCGATTTTAAGGACAAGGTGGTGCTAGACGTTGGCACGGGGTCCGGTATCTTGGCCTTTTTTGCCATCAAAGCCGGCGCACGTAAAGTATACGCTGTCGAGTTAAGTAATATGGCCGACTGTGCTCGTGAATTGGTGGCTGCAAATGGTCTTAGTGACCGTATTATAGTGATTAAGAGCAAGATGGAGGAAGTGCAATTGCCAGATCAAGTGGACGTGGTAGTATCCGAACCTATGGGCTTTTTTCCTCGTACACGAACGCATGCTTGAGACGTTCGTGGCTGCTGGTAAGAAATGGCGGCGACAAGTACCGGGCTTTAAGATGTACCCGTCAATTGGCACCATGTTTGTGTCGCCGTTTTCAGATGAAAGTATCTACCGAGAGCAGATGGCCAAGGTGGCATTTTGGCAGCGGCAGGACTTCTACGGTGTCAATCTATCGAGTCTTCGGGCGCGAGCAATGGACAATCATTTTTCGCAACCAGTGGTCGGATACTTTCCACCAGAAATGCTGCTATGCTCGTATCCTGCCAAACACGTACTAGACTTTGCAGCAGTGACCAAGGAACAGCTTGACAACTTTGACTTCCCGTTTCACTTCGTGGTCGAGCGTACGGCGGTCATGCACGGTCTAGGCTGCTGGTTCACTGTCGACTTCTTGGGCTCGGAGGCACGTGTCGTGCTCAGCACAGCACCAGAGAGCGCAGGAACGCATTGGTATCAGTGTCGACTACTACTTGCTACCCCGGTTGCTGTAAACGCATCGCAGAGTGTCAGTGGCAATCTTCACTTTGTGGCGAACAAGAAGTTTAGCTACGATATTGATCTTGAAGGTGCGACTCCAATTTGCTTACATGTTTGTCTTTTGTGTACATTGAACTCACGTCTTTCATCTTATACATGTTGGCAGTTCGTCTCGACGGGACTACCATTGTGTCAAGAAACCACATTCGACTGCACGACCAGATGTACCATTATCTGTACTCGCCTGGTGCTGCTTCTGCAGGAGCAAATACCACTGATGAAATGCAGCAGAGAGGCACGTCATACTAAAGTAACAAAGGACGGTTTTACAACGTGTCTGTAACCACGGCGAGGTGAGAAAGCGATGGCCACTGCATTAATGAAGGACACTCAAGCGGATCAACCGGAAACACCCATGACGTTGAAATATGAGCTAAATATCACTACGAAGCATACGTAGGAAATAGGAAAAATCTCGGCAAATCACCATGTCAAGCTTTTCCTCAAACATCCATGATATGGTCGATTGCCTTCCTCACACACGGGTCAAAAGCAGCACTCGAGACAGCAGGTGGAGCCGTCTGGTGCTTCTTTTGCGAATTGCCGTTACTCAATTCTGCCGGCAACAGCTCCATGTTAGGCACAACCTTTGTTGGCGGAATACCCACGCCCTCATACAGCACGTCGTCGGGGCCAAAAAATACGCTGATACGGAATCTCAACCGTCCAGTAGTTGGGCAAACGTAGCTGCCGTGTGGGTGAAAGGCTACCGGCAGTGGTGGCCCCGACACGGCATGTAAGCGGCCGCTGCATCAAAGACAGACACAATAACTCTGCCGTACTGTTACCATCAATAACAGCAGTTGATTCAGTTTGATCGAATGAGCAAGTCACAACGTAAACTATCCAGAAAACTTCTAACTTACCCGCGCGTGTATTGGCTCTGCAGTATGGCTAGCGGACCACGGTAGCGCGTGCAACGCGACGTGTACGGTATATAATATTTCTTCCTCTTGGAGAATCTCGGCGTTCCACCTGGTATTTTTTCATCCGTAGAAAAAGCCAGCGCTTTGTCCTTGCTGGCAAAGAATGATGCCACTGTCAACGCAGTGACATACGAGCCTCCACCTTGGTTGAAGCGACAATCGAGAATCATTCCGTCGACATCGCCCAGACCCTTCAAGATTGCTTCAAGAGACCAACGCATGGACTCCAAGTCATAGATCTCAGGCACAACCATAAAGTTACCTGCCAGAGCTCCTCCTCTATCCTTTCCTGTCAGTCCGTCAGCATCCAAAAGTGTCTGTCCTGCATCTGCTTCACATGAAATATCTGCTGCTGATATTCTTCTTGTCCGAGACGGCACGAGAGCGTCAACTTTTGGCAGTGAAAATTCTACAAAGCCTTGCATAGCAGTTAGGCAAATGTACCCAATCCTCCATCCTGGACATGTCTCGGCATTTAGAATACCGCAAACAAATCGGCCGTTGTCAATTCTACGACCACCTTGATTCAAGTGCTCTCTCTCAATAGCAGCCACTGTTTGTTGCTGGTATCTCAGCGCAGCCGCACTGGGCAGTTTGCGTCCTCGTACTGTCAACGTCCTGGATCCTGCAGGACTCGATCCAATAGGGCGCGAAACCGCAAGCAATGGGTCATCACAAAGTGAGACACTATCCTGCATTGCAATCCACAAATCATCATCACTCGTAGTTTGTTGTATCGTGTCTCCAAACAGCTGCCGCACGAGTTGCCAATCGACGCCTCTGAGCTCCATAAAAGCATAGTGATCCTGCATCGCGCGCCAGAAACTGTAGAATGTCAGCACGGGATCACGTGAGTACGTCACACGTGCAAAAATAGCGCGCAGCATCTCCAAAAACAGCCGCAACAGGATACCGTGTAACGTCATAAGTACGACCAGTGCACCACCCAGTACGGGCACATGGCGGCGTAAAAAGCTCACCGGTATAATAACCACTGATTCATACATCTCTAGAGGCCATAGAATCAGAAGCTGTAGCATCGTATCAGGAGATAAGAGCCAATATAAGCGCAGCGGTAGTAGTGTCCACGGCTTCCACATTGAAGCCAACATTGCATTTGACAAATTAATTGAATCTGACAAATGATAAGGTGGACGTGTCAAATGGTGTGGATTACAT